AAAGTATAAATCGTAAATATTAAAAATATTTTTTCACAGTATATATAATATATAATAATATGATCAAGTCAAAAACTATTTAATATAATTTCGAAGGTATTAACGAGACGATTATAATGGTATAACTTGTTAAAATAAAAATGTATTTTTTAAACATGTTTTAATTGATATACGATTATGTATGTTAATTTGATAAAGGTTTAAAATGAAACATTTAAAAGTAAAAGATGTAAAGTAAATTAATTAACTAATTATAAGGATATAAAGTGTAAATTTAAAATTATGATTTTAAAAAAATCGGTACAATGTGAGGGTGAGTGTATGTGAGAAGAGGATGAGGTGAAAAAGTGACCTAAAGATAATATAAAGGGTATCTTGGTCATTTAGTATTTTAAGACTTTTATTAAATTTGTTTGATAAGATAGTATAGATTATTTGTATATATGTTGTTTAATTTTTTTTTATTAATTATTAGGATAGTTAATTAGCAAAACTGGTCTAGTTCTTTATTTTTTAAATATTAAGTTAGATTTTGTGATAATTATTAATTCTTAGGGTATTTGATTTTTAAAAATGGAAAGATTTTTGAATAGATAATTGCTAACATCAAAAACTGATAGTGGTGGTAATGATTCCGTAACATTCTTACGCTAGCTCTAATTTTTTCGATACTTAGAGCTAAGAACTTTTTTAGAGGTTCATAACTTCACCATATCAGTTTTCTTTTACCTACACATTTCATAAATCTTTCGCTTTCAATCGTGGACTGGTTCATAATTTATATGATAAAGAACACTACAATAGTAAAAATTATAATAATTAAAAATTAATTACTATACTATATTATAAAGCATTTGACAAAAACTCTTAAAAATCATTTTTTATGCATTAACTACTGTTTATTGATGCATATTATTTAAAATTTAAAATCACAAGTAAATTGTGCGCAAATACAACTTATTAAAACTTCATTTTTGAATTTGTGTAACTAATTATAGATAAACATAATCAAATACGAGATAGACATCTCATTTTGAATATAAAAATTCTAAAATATAATTAGGATAATCATTAATTATAACAAAATACATAATTATTATCTTTATAAAAATTATGTTATTAAATGATAAATACATTACTTTGTTATTAAATCTAAATTAAATTATAATAAAATATTGAATTAAAGAAATTACACAAAAAACCAGAACTTTAAATAGTAAATTAAATACTAATATCGATATATTTTTTTCCAAATTTTTATGATATATTTAAATTTATATTTTATTCAAATATAATATCGCTTTCTCAAAACCACTAAAAACCGTATTATATCGACGTAGATAAATAATAAAACAAAATATTAAAATTAAGATATATCTCGCTATATTATGCGAACACCCTTCTAGTTATAATTAAAAGACAATAATTAAAAATTACAATTATGAAAGTCATAATAAATTAAAGAGTAAACTATGGATTTCGTCCCTCCGGTTTGAGAAAAATTGGATTCGTTCCAGTGGTTTCGAAGTTATGATTTCGTTCATATGGTTTGTAATTTATTATTGTTTTCGTCCCTGAGACTAAATATGTTAAAAGTCTTCCATTGACTTAGAGTATTTTAATTTTTTTGATTTATTAAATATATTTTTTGGTATTTTTTTCTTTTTGATTTAATAAAACTATAAACTTTTTTATTAGAAAAAGTTAATAGATAAAAAAGTTATATTGTTTTATTATTGTATACAATAAAATAATTAAAATATTATTAAGAGTAAACTTTAATTTTGGTCCCTGGGGTTTAGTAAAATCTTTAAAAGTGGGCCTGAACTTTGATAACTCTAGAAATTATTTTTATGGTTCTCATTTCGTTCTGAAAATGGTATTTGGTCACTAACTTTGGTTTTTTTCCATTAGAAGAATCTTGTATAAGGTGTGTTGATCTTTTTTTTATTAACCTGGATATCCAACCCGCTATGCGAGCCGACTAATCCCAGGACAACCACATGCTTTGTAGATAGTCCGAAGTCACCGCATTTGAATCTCCGTGGCCACAAGAGGATTTTTATCCCTTCTTGGATTTGAACCCGAAACCTTCTGGTACTTTTGACCTTTGGAGTCAAGCTCAAACCAACCGGCACCACCCTTGCGGTTGTGTGTTGATCTTTTACATAAATGACAGAGCAATTCAATAGATATTGAGCCTATTAGTCAGCTAGTAAAAAACATATATGTTTCACAAGAGAAGGTTCAAAGATTAACACATACCTGTATGCGGGGCCAACTATGGAATCTTATCTCTAGAACTTTTATCGTCAATATCAAGTTGCATTGATGTTGTGATGGGTTTTTTTGGAAGAAGTGCGAGTTGTACACCTACTTCAATTAGTAATCTGGATTTATCGACATAACCTGCATTTTTCAACAAAATCGACAGCCAAAAACAAGTCTAATCCAAATTCTAATTGAAAAGATATTTGTGGTTTTATGTATTCATGTACGAGAGAATTTTAATGTATAACATGTGCAAACGAAGTTCAGGTGAATGAGAACTCTTCAAAGCGTTGATTTGAGAATAAATGTTAAATAAATTGTAACTGAAATAATTTAATCCAGTAATCAATCAACATTAAATTAGTTATACCTCGACATCACAAAAAATAAGACACAAATTACTAAGGTATACAAAATTGTTTAATAAATAATTTACAAAACTGCTTTATACATAAGATACAAAACATAAAACGGAGAAATAACTTTGCATGCTTAAGTTCGACGTTATCCGGAAACCATTTGATGTATCATGTGAAACTGACACGCCGATTGGGGCAATCTTATTTTTGTAAGGATATAATGTTGAACATGACTCTCTATTTAAAATTATTGTTTATCTGTTAATTTTTCATGTACGTTGGTTTATGATCGGAAAATTTTTTATAACAAATTTTTTATCTCAAGTAACGACTGTTAAGAAATAAAAACATTTTAATAAACCAATTGCATTTTGAGACAGTTTAAATGAGAAAAGTTCCAGTTTTCTTAACCTAGAGTTATATTTTTCAATTTTTTTTTTGTCACACGTAAATTGACCGTATTAATGTATATCCAAACAAATTTATCCATTTGTATTTGTGTTGATACATCTATACTATATTATAAAGCATTTGAGAGAAAAATTTTAAAAATCATTTTTTATGCATAAAGTACCGTGTATTGATACATATTACTTAAAATTCAATATTACAAGAATTTTTGCGTAAGTATAATTTATTAAAGCTTCATTTTTAAATTCGTGTAACTAACTACAGATAAACATAATCAAATACAGGATAAACATCCATTTTAAATATAGAAAATCTAAAATATAATTAAGATAATTATCGAGTTTTCACAGAATTGTTAATTATTATCTTTATAAAGTTATATTATTAAACCAAAAATAAATCACTTTCTTATTAAATCTGAATTAAATTATAATTAAAGATAGAATTAAAGAAGTTACACCAAAAAAGCAAGAACTATTAAATAGTTAATTTGATATTAATATCGATTTATTTTTTTAATTTTATATTTCATTCAAAAATAAAAACATTATTGCTTTCTTAAAACCACATAAAATCGTATTATATCGATAGAGATAAAAAAATGAAAACTAAACATTAAAATTGAGATTGATCTCGTTGCATTGCACAAGTATCCTTTTAGTCTATTTAAAATTCACATAGTCACTATCATAGTATCATATAAGTCAACCATAACCCTCATTTTAGACGACTTTTTACGTTGTATATACTACTCATTCAAATGGAGTGACTTAATCGGGTTTCACAAACATACTTATGCAATTGATCTATTCCAAAGTTTAGTATTTCTATGATTATATTTTCTTTTTCATCATATGGTCTTTTTTCCTATTAATACGTCACTATTTTTCATTACTGGTCTCCCATAGTGATATTCTTTTCCAATCCGTTTCAACTGTTTTAAACGATGATTCAACTGTTATCCAATTCACACGATCCAATTAATTCTATTTTCAAAATCTCGTGTTATTTTATAAAAAAAACTCCCACCACATGGACACAACCGATAAGGTTATCATAATGATAGTCATTCTGCTCCATCTCTCTTAATGGTTGCTCGTCTTGGTTCTTGGTAGTTGGCACCATAGAAACGAAGCATGCTAACATTTCGTTACTGAATCCAGATGAAGAGTTTGTTGCCATTGCTACGTTTGATTCTTCATGCCATCACTCAAATGGTCTTGAATCTTGATTACATGGCTTGTCATTTGTCATACACATCGTACTCTTTTTGGTAGATGATACATTTCCGAGTCCATTTTATTCATATACAGAATACATGATATTGGTTACATATTTATTTTCTAATAGTCATATCAATCATATCATTCCAGTTAAATTGTTTAACATAAGTCATCAATGAGTGTTGAGACGGTAAACGTTTTTTGTCATCTTGTCTTTAAGATGATCATTTATATTGGGTGTTTGAGATTGCTTTTAAAAATAACTTATTGACTTATTTCRGTGTRRHACCGGTAATAAACACTTTTTAGTGTTTGGATAAACAACTTATACCGGTGCCAAACCGGTAATAATGATTTTTTTAAAAAGTTAAATTCTTCTGACTTATAATAAGTTGATAAGTGCTTTTGTAGAAAAAAACATAAGTTGTTTCAAATAAGCAATTTCAAACACCCCTAAAATAGACATAGCTACAATAATATAAACGCATATTGATTAAGTATTTTATTTGAATATATGATTAAAAAATGTATAGAAATATAATGATATATTTGTCAATTTGTTGTTTCAAGTTGAAGCAAGGGCACCACAGATGAAGGACTCAAATGTGATATCTTCAGTAATGCGAGGGAAATATGTCGTTGTGTCATAGTACAGGGATGTAAATGTAAATATATGAAGACTACATAAACCTGCGCGAAAACAGAGAGGAAACCTAAAAGGCGGCAACAAAAAATCCAAATGCATATTAATTCCATCTTTTCCTCTCGTGTCCAGATTTGGATCTTTCTGCATAAACTTGGATCTTCGTTATACTGCTTCTAACATCATCCAGGTAAGATTTGTATTATTATGTGACTAGTTCATTACACAGTTCATACTTAGTGTAGATTTGAATCCATTTGATTGATTGCAACCGCTATTATGGATCGTGTTTGTGATTCATCGTGTTAATGGTTCGAAAAACGATCGTATGTTGTTTTTAGGATCGTTGATGCTTCATTCCTTGTTTTTCTTTCTTGAACACCCTGTGTCTGATTGTATTTGTGTATGCATAACACTATGTATAACGTATTGTATGATTTATGTGTTTTATTTATATATGCATAACTACACAAGTATACATGTATGATTTATATGTGTTATATATGCATAACTACACAAGTATACATGTATGATTTATATGTGTTATATATGTATATATATTGTTTAAACAAAAAACGAGTATGGGCTTATACTTAGAAGTAGTTGGGGCGGCATGGGGATGGGTAGACAAAAGGGTATGGGATGATTAATAAAGAATTAGCTTCCATCTCGTATTTGTCTCTTAAGTGGTGATGAATATTATCTTATATTGCACAGACATTTTTGCTATAGGACCATTTTGAAAGTATTTTAAATACCATGGTCTTTTTTAGTATTTGAATTTTCATGATTTGGTTCCAATTGTTTTTTTTGTGTGTGTGAAGTATAGTTTTTCTTACTACTTTGTCCCTGATGCTGCATGGGTTTGTAGGAGATGTAGGCTCAAACTGGTCAGCATCCTTGGACCACATAAGTTACAAGAATAATAGGAGAAAAACTAGCTTTAGAAAACTTTTTGGTTTTGTTTTTGTTATGTATCTAATAATATTATCCAACTAATGTATATAAAACGTCTGGTCCACATGATTTTGGACTTTAGGCTTTCTGATCTATGAACATGACTACATGAAATTGATGGTACCTTGGAATTTGAAACTAAGACCTTTTAAGCCATATGGTAGGAGAAAAACTAGTTGTTCCCTAATTCAACCACCAATATGTCACATTAAGTTATTCCTTTCATTAAATTGAAAAGTGCAGGGCGAAATAGAACATATGCTCCACTTTACAAATCAGTATAACAGTGTAGACTAGACACCATCACAATTCACATATGTCAAATTAGACTGTTTGTCCTATTTCTCAGATTTTGACAAGTCCAAAGTAAATCAAAGCTTTACTGCATTGTCAATCAATGTAGCAATATTATTCTGGAATAGAATTTACCCCACTTACAGGTGATGGATCCCAATTTGTTCGTGTAATGCATAACACCATCACCATATCTTACAAAGGTGTAAATATCTCTTTACCTTTAAAAGGTGTATCTCAGTAGAATAGTCTTTGTTATGTTTGCATTTAGAAATGGGACAAAATATGAACATATTATACACCAGCAGAAAGAAGAAATTATCCGAACCATTTATGAAGATTCCCCGTCGTTTTCTTGAAGAAAATCCATGAACTAAAACATGTATACGCTGACTAATGTTTGAAGCAATGGCTTCTGATGGATCATATTATTTCAAGGCTGTTCGAAAATACATACTAGCATCAGAAAATGAAAAATAACTAATGCTCAACTACCTCTTTCTTCTTTCTTCTGTAATGTGCTAACCGATAAAAAAATGGCTCGTTTTGGAGCATAAGCAAACGAAATAATGATACCAGCAATCTTGTATCAACTAATGGCAGGTGGTTCTGGATGAGACCACTATCACTCAACTTCTCTCTTCTAAGTTACATGCAAATGCATGCCATGGGTCATGTTAAAGGATGGATAGATGAATGTACAACAGTTTGTTAGTCATTGACCTCTTTTCCTTGGATTGGTGGTTTTCACAGCTGACCTATTTGGCTTCATTCTTTGTCTTGACTAACTTACTTGCTGGAAAATGCAGTCTTGCCATCAGAGGTCTAGGTGCCCGGGTTTTCTGATCAAACCCTCTCACACAAACAAACCCTGCAAATGTCCCACAGCATATTATTAGCAAATAAATAATGTGCTCCGTATCACATGTTTCTCTATAAAACATCGATAATTGAGGAACTACATACCTCTCCAAAAGCATTGTTGAATTTCTTGAGTCGTCAGTCCTACCAGAACCAATATTTCAGTGTTAATTGCTAATATTAAAACATATAGAAACCTGATAAAGATGCAACAAAAAGTGCATCAAGACTATTTATACCTTTGAAGATTGTTGATACGGAAGTCCCAAAGTACACTGTTCGTCTTGGTAGGTTCCAAATCCATGCTCTTGGAACAGCAATTGGGTTCAGGCTTGATGCATGATCAGCAAACATCTACATATAAATAGATCCCATGAAGCTTCAGTGATTGTTTGATTTGGACTTGTTTGTTTGAAATGGAAAGAGTATGAGGTCCAAGTGAATTGCATCTTATGTGTTCATTCATTTGTTTATGTCAACTGGATTTTCTGGTAAGCTAGTTAATTTTGTAATAGAGCAAGGAGCAGTTACATATAGGTGGTAGAATCATTTTGAATACCGATAAAAAGGATGTGCTTTGGAATTTTAGATTTTAATGTACCTCATTAACTTGGAAGTATGTGCCATTGAGTGGAAAGCTCCCATGCATTGCTGTTCGACATGGCATCTTTGATGAAAGTGGACACATAGACAAAACATGAGTATCCAGAGTTTAGTGGCTTACTTGATGATTAATGTTTACAGTATCTTGAAATTAAATCTCCTTACCAAAATAGTTCCTCTGACCACTTGTGAGTTTGCTTCTTTTATGCAGTTGCATGAAAAGCATGTTGTTCGATCACACAACATGCCTGATTCTTGGGACTGACATCCTCTTTCAGGAGGTTGTGTTGAAGTTGCAGTTTCACCTGGAAGGAGATGTTCAACCTATGTCAAAAGTTATGAGATCATAAAGCATAATACTCATCCCTCAATGTGCGCTCAATGTGCGTGTATTTTGGCCATTCAAAAAAAATTAATTAATGCATTTGTTCTTTAAAAAAAGAGCATCCAGACAAGGGAAATTCAAGACTCGGGAATTTTAGTTCAAACACATTAATTTTAAATCTACTTCATGCTATTAAAGTAAAGCAATTTTTGTTTATCATAGTAGTAAAACATGCTGACCTGGTGTCCATATTGCAAGGAGGTAGGGGCTTGGATCATCGGGTTCTCTTTTATCCAACTGAAAACATGATAAAATATAAGTTAGTTGGTTAAGTTATTCGTTATGTGTTGAAGGTTTAGCAAGCAGCAGAAATGCAGAATTACTAACCCCTTTCAAAATTGGATGAGAGTCTGGAAGCTCATACCTGCAGCAGAGCCAGAGTAAGTGAAAGTGACTAATGTATGATATTGCATTCTGTAAAGCCCCCATGTGAATTGTAACATGGATGCTATAAGTATCTGCTTCACTTTATGAGTATCAGGCTGGACATGTGGTACATCTCCATATCACCAGAAATCATTTTTGGATCCTGGTGAATCTGAGTGATCACTTATTAAGTGCAGAGCGATCTGTGAGAGACGCAACATATGTGAAATACTTGCCAACCTGTTCAATACTCTTCTGGCATCACCTGAACCATGCTGAAGCTTTTCTTTCTATGCTTGCTTGAGAGAAACCAGCTAATCATTCATTCAATTTTCTTAAGACTAACTTATTGCTACTTTATTTGTATTCCCGCTTTTCTTTTTTCTTTATTTTTTTTTTCATTTTGGTGTTTCTTATGGATTTGCAATTTTGATCCCAATTACTTGTTTTGGTAGTATTACACCGTTTTTAAAGAGTCTAGACACACTTACACTTGATGCTCAGTCCGCAGTCGACTAACATTCTTCAGTTTTGGTGTAGGTATGGAAGCAGCTTGTGGATTCAGTGCAACCAATGCTTTGGACATATCGCCTTCCATGCTATCTTGCATTTTCTGTAAGTTCATTGTGAATTCATTCATGTCAAGTTTGATAGTTGGTATTTCATCATCATCCTCATAGTATTGATCCTCAATGTCACTTAATGTTAATTCTGCACTTTCTGGCTCTGGAGTTGTTGGTTCTTCAATGATTGGTTCACACTCTCTCCCAGAAAATTGTGCATCTTTACTGTAGTTGTTCTCAGCTGGAGGTAGTGACATGGGCCTCATGATCACAGGGGGGATTGTATGTGTTCCATTTGGTGCATCTGAAGTCACTATTCTCTTCTCTTCGGGCCCTGGGAGGGCAAGCCTTGCACTGCAGCATATAGATCACTTACATTAAATTTTTTGCATTTGAACTTATGTGTGGAGACAAAGTGAAAGGATAATCTAAAAAAATTTGTTCCATCATTGAGTTTCCAGCTATTTTAATGATTATTTATCACCAAACTATATGCAGCAACTGACTACTCATGAGTCATGGCTTAATAAAATTGGGACACTACATATGTTTCAAATACATTCAACAATGACAAAGTAAAGGGAGCCTTCTCTTTAACTTAAAAACATGGCATCAATGGTTTTATATGTCTAGTAAAAATTCAATTCACAGTACTTCTTGTATAATTCAAAAGGGCCGAATACAGTGGAGACAGTGGGGGCCATGCTCCTCCCCCTCCCCTTGTTTTTAGATTTATATTTGATAAGGCAAAGGCTGATCATGCTGCTGGCCCCCTAGCTCAGCTGGTTTAAAGACTTGTGTTAATATTTAAGGGCCCAGGTTCAAGACCTAGGGCTTTCATTTTTTCTTATTTTCTAAGAAACATTCATATTTTGAAGTGCAGAAAGCAAAATTATTATCATTATGGTCTATTACCTTAGTTGGATAAAGTGTCATTTATTTTTTAAGAACATTTATGTTTTAGAGCACAGAAAGCAAAAATATTATCATTATAGCTATTAACTTAGTGGGACACAGTGTCATGCTAATAACAAAAAGGTTTTTGGGTTCAGGACTTTCATGGGCCAAGCCTTTTTCCTTTTGTTTCAGAAAATTTATAAGTAGATTTGTTTTAGTATTTTAAGTTTATTTGCCAATAGTATTTTCATTTTGCAAACATTTTATAAAGAACAATGATTGCATCAAAAATCGAAATAACCTAATTTTGGGTTCATACCATTGCCATTGGTCCAAGAACATACTAACCAAGGGTTTTTATAGTGCAATTTCCAGCCATCGGGATTTTTATAATGCCTTTTTTTGGTCCCTGGGTTATGATGGCTGTGTTCGGCCACTAATAGTTCAATGTGGTTACCATCTATTGCTTCATTTTTCATCTTATGCAAGTCACAGAATTATCAGTCAATGATTGATCTCTTGGACTTTAAAATCAAATTCAGACTCGATTAGTAAAAAACTGAGGAAGTGAGATTCATAGCTACTGGCTTAGGGTGTCTAATTCAGTGTGGCTACAGAAATAGACTACTGGTTCCAAGTTCTTTGGCATGCTCGTGATCTCCTCATGTAAACCTTAAAAAGGGATTAGTTAGCATACCTTGCGAAAGCACTTGCAAAGTGCCGGCACTCTGCTCTCATAGGGCATGCATTACAGTTTGGCTTACTCTTCGTGCAAAAAACCTGCATCAATGTCAAGTAATTAGGACATTGGAAACTCTCTATTCCCTTTCTTGAAGTGTGAACGGTCATATACCTTTCCAAATGTGATCATTTGGTAGTGTAGCTCATATCTGCCATTTAACCACACACTAATCAGTAAAACTAGCATATTTTAAGTTTTCATAAAACATCGTACATAAGATAAGGTTTTATTCATTCATTCGCCCGAATAAATGATTTAGGGTAAGTATTGGTTACAGTGTCAATTGATCCAGCTTGCACAACCTAGGCCAGAGATACTTCTGAATCGACTCCAACACAGGGTACCTGTATGAAAAGCAAATCAGTAACTCTTTTTACCGAAAGCTATATATGTTTAGTATTTGCTTATTACTTACATCTCCAAGAGATGCAGTTGGAGTGATTCAGGTAGTGGTTGGAGTGGGACCCAGCCCAGTCTCACTGCTATCCTCCCAACATTTGTGTCGACCTGAAAAAAGATAAGTTTTTTTTTTTTGTAAATTGTCTTTTGATATGTCAAGTTTGTATATATTTGTTGCTTTAGCATCAACATACCGGAAAAGCAAGATGATGAAGTGTTAATAGGCGCACACACTCCACACTTTTCAGCCCCAATCCTCGAATGCTTAGTAAGTAATCCCTGAAGTATAATTAATAATATAGAACTCAGAATATATTAAATTTTTGAATGCTATCTTAAACTCATCTGTTATGATTCCTGTAAGTTAACCAACTTTTGCTCGAGCGCTTACTTTGCTTGGTCTGGGGGTACATCCCGCAACCATTCTAGGTCAATGCTTTCATGGTCTCTCACCAGTCGGTCAAGAAAATCCTGCATATGAATAATAACCATTATGATTGTTATTGTTATCTTTTTCATAGGTGAAATGCCAACATATGAGGCAATGAAGTTGTAGTACCTTTATTCTATCAGCCAGCAAGTTGTTCATTCCACGTTCCCTGATAGCATCTGAGATCTCATTGACATGCGCCCGTCTCAATGCTTCGTAGTCGAGTGAGTCTTTTGCATCTTTGCTTCTCTCTCTTTTTTCACCATTTGATAGCACTTTTTTTCTCAAGCTATCCCAATCAAAAGCTTTTTTCTTTTCATCCTCAGCTGTTCCCTTTCTTACCTTTGGGATATTTGTGCCTGCCCCACTTAATGGTTCATGAGAAGCATAATTCTGCTCCTTTGAGTTGGCTTCGGCGGCTGCATTCTCAATGCAATTCTGCTTATCCACTGCAGAAACTCTGTCCTCACTACATGAGTCCTGTTTCGGGGCACCATTTTGAGCTTTGGCTAGTGTTTCAGCATGCACTGTTGTTTCTCTGTACAATTCTCTCCCCTGTTGATGACTGCTGTTCAAAACACTGCCAATATGAGATCTTGGCTGGAAGCTTTTTAGATGAGTTGGATGATTGCTAAGAAAATCGTACTGGGCTAGTGGTGGTGCTTGGAACCTTGGCATTTCATTTTCTTGATAAGTTACATTACTCGTATGATATGCCTCTGTTATTCCAGACTTGGATGAAGGCAAGGAAGATATGCTTCCTCCTCTTAACAACCCAAAACCAGGGGAGCCTACATTTTGCAGGCCCATTGCCATATTCATTTGAAACCGACTAGACGAAGCAAGTTGTTCTTGAACAAGGTGGAGGCTAGAGTTTGGTGGAGTAAATCTGGATGCATTGTTCAGGTTATTGACTCCACCAATTATTGGAATTTGCATGTTATACGGAGGTGTTTTTGGTAAATGATGCATATATTGTGACCTGTCGTTTAGTGATGGGCTCCGGTTATCATGACTGAAAAGTTCTGTGAACATGCTAACTTTCTCTGCCTGCATGGGATTTGCCGGACCAGGCTCCTTGCTGGTTTCAAATCCTGTTATTTGATCTTCTGCTTCTGAATTTGATCCTGAGCTCGATCTAATTTCATCAACAGTTTGAATTGTAGAAGAATCAAGGGAATCTTGCGATAGAATCACTTCTTCTGATGTCCTGTTGTCCTTAATTGCTGCAGCTTTTGTTGATGAAATGTGATGATGTCTCATGTGCTCAGATGATTCACAGGATACAAAGGAGCTTTGGTTGAAAACAGGTTGCCTTTCTATTTTATCATGACATTTCGTGCTGTCATTTGGTAATACTGTTTCAATTGGCTCTTCAACCAGTATGCATGCCCCATCTTGGCAGCATGTTTCATTGGTGCTTGTGGACTTGGGGGAAAATTTTGCTGCTAGAGACATGAAGGCCGAACTGCAGACAGTGGGTTATGAATAAGATATCATTTTTGATTATTTTCAATGTAATTAGACAATACAGCACCACAAGTTTACCTTGAAAGATGGTCTGAAACGTTCTGTGTGAGGAACACGCCAATCACTGAATCAACAACGGATCCTTTCCATCGTGAGAATCGTCTATCTCCTGGAAAAAGAGGTTACCATTTAAATACTGTTGAGTACATGTACTAACATATTCCAATTTTGACCATTTAACATGTACAAAAAATTCACAGATATTTGGTTATTTTGTTCATACTTGAGGATATTTTTCAACAAACTTCCCATAGAAGGCATTTCATTCCCCATATACCTTTTTCCCTTTTAGTTTGTGTCTTTGTCAATTGTAGGCTTAGCATATATATTAGGTTGGTCTACTTTATATATACCCTGAAACCTTTTGAAGTAGTTATCCTAGGTTTCCTGATATGTATATGTTTGTTTTGATTTTATGGTTGTAGCTTTTCAGTGATCAGGTTTTAGTATTCCCATCTTTTAACATGTTCATTAGTTGCCATTGAAGTAGATTTTGCTGATGATTTTCTTTCATATTTTCTTTCAACCTCACATGTACTTTAGTCACTAATAGAAACAAAAAGCTTCTGAGCAGCAAATGCATTTGGTTGGAGGAAGAGTTTTGATGAAATAATGAATCAAGTTACTAAACTTCAACTGTTTCTTATATGACCATCAACCTGGGATTTACAAAACTTAACTAACAACTTATGTTGGTGTATAATTCTTTGTATATGTATTTGTTATGATGTACACTGTAATCTTGCGTATTTTCACATGATCCAAGTGTATTATAGCATTAATTAACTAGGTTTTTTAACTTCCCATGCTCCTAGTTTGGGTTATATTGTACTGACAATTTGAGATGATTTTATTTACCTTGAACAAGATGCATACGGGCAATGAATGAGTCTGCTCGGCCACGGAACACTCGTCTTTCGTCTTCCCACCATTTTTCTTTATCTTTGTCCAATGTCTCCGTGGCCTCGCTCCCTTCCTTACCCATCAAGAGTCTCCAAAGTCTATCTGTTTCTGGATCAAGGTCTACCTTTGGACGTGGCTTCCGTTTCTTGATAGGCTCAAATGGAATGATGGCATTATTACCTTTGTATGGAACAAGGGCATTTTGCTTTTTGTCATTCCCATCATAGATGCTGAGGCCTTCTAACTTGAATGTAATATCCTCAACCAAAACTTCAACTTTGTGTTTTCTTGGACCACCTGCACAAATAACCAGTTTCAGAAACTTTAATTATGAAACGTTTGCTTATATATTTTGAACACTAGAGACAATTGCCTCTAATCTGTTTTATAACAAGTACCGTTTGGTTTTCTAAAGGATTGCTGTTGAAATTCCAAAGCATCTTTACGTAATTGCAGAAACACCTGATCAGCCCCATTTGACCTTCGATTAGATGAATTTGATGTTGCAGTCCTCTTTTTATCTACCAAAGGAGAAGGGTAAGTTACTAATGCAGATCTGGAGTAATCTTTCGGTGGAGTTGCAGGTGGTCGGTTCCAGCTAATCATTGCAGTTACAGGGTTAACTCCATGGCCTGGAGTGGGCCTTTGCAATCTTTCTGCGATTGGTTGCATTCCAGATGTCACCATATGCTTCTGTAAATTCTGTGTAGCAGCCCTGGGTGGTTGGAATTGGCGTCCATTAATATTACCACCACCAGCATTCATCACCTTATAAGACGGCTCGACTCTTCCAGTGCAAGAATTTAGCAATTGCAAAGAAGCAGGGGCATTTCCATATACGCCATTGATTTGCCTTGATTCTCCTCTCAAGTTATCTTCAAGAGGTGGTGTGCTGGAAACTAAAGCTTGAAGGTGGTCACTTTGGGTCTTGGTTTTCTTGTGGCTTTCCAAGATGATGCTGGCCAAATTGTTACTAGCATCAGTACGATCTAACAACAATTTCTGGTACATTATGAGAGAATCCATGGCATTGAGACTATGGGGATCCATCTGCTCAAAAGACTGTCTCTTGATGCCTCTTCTTTCATCAAAGTTGACCATTCGTCCGCTTGGTTCAAGATTTGGAGACACTTGTTGTTGACCCACTTGGTTATATCCATTTCTCCATACATCTCGTACTGTAATTGGGTTTTTCATGGTCAAGTGTTGTGCAAGCACATTCAAAGCAACGTCCCTTGCTTTAGCCATGGGTGTAGATGGAACATTTAGCAGCTCAGGCAACGCCATGTTTTGAGTTCCAGCTTGCATATGATTTGTGGATATCTTTTGGTGGGTACCGACACCGGCATACCTATTGTTTTGTACAACGTTCATGGCTGATCTCTCAAGTATGCCGTTAATTCTTCTTTCTTGTTCTATGTCGCGAGGACTGGCATTCAAATTAATATCCTGTCGGCCATCTCTTGCCACAATCTCCAAATCGAAATTCAATTGTTTCTTGCATGATTTGGCAGGAGTCTCCACAACTGGTGCTGTAGCTTCTTCCACCCTGGTTTTCTGTTGTACGTCCGAGTTTTCAACACCCTTCTTCCGCACATACTTCCGTTTACCAGAGCTTCGAGGAACCCCATTCTGGCTTATTTCAACACCGTTCCTCTGTGGAGTTTCTGAAACATTCACGTCTTTTTTTCTCACATACTTCCTTTTAACCCGGGTCTCATTGGGAGGGGTGTTTTTGGGATCTTTAGGTGTTGCAGTCTTTTTAGGCTTCCCTTCTCTAATTACCTTCGGGCGGTGTTTTTTCCTTCTTGCTGGTGTCTTCTGCTGGGGTGTCTTGTTTAAATCGATGCCCAATTCATCTCCCTCCTCGGAAACTAGATGTTCCTTTTGTGTTGTTGAAACTGCAGAAGATGTGGAGTCTCCGATGGTATGTAACTGTTCATTATAATGGTTATCTCCATCTTCATTTCTTTGACTCTCATGCCTATCTTTTGCCAGTACCCATTGGCTGTCTGTATGTTTTTGCCGTGTATCTGGGGTAATTGGAGCAAATGCCAATGGCCCTGTGATTTCAGAGGAGGCTGCATCTGGTTCTGATCTTGGTGGTGAGTTCAGGTTATAGCAGGGTCGAAAAGGGACCGGAAATCCATCTGTTAAAAATAAAACAATGCTCATTATTTGCTTTAAAATTGATTTTATTTCTGTAACAAAAACCACCTTTGTCCAGTTTTACTTTGAAAACAATTACAACTTTCGTAAGCATGTGTGCGTGCACACACACACACATGTATATATATATATATATATATATGTATGTATGTATGCATATATCTTTTATGAATGTATGCATAATGGTAACAAAATAAAGAGTTTAGGCACCTGTAAGCAATTGCTTTGAGGTGTAACCACCGCCTAGCTTGTTGGAAGTGAATGTGTGAGATTGTTGATTTCCGATTCCAACCATGGAACCAACACTGATCGAGTTGCTTCCAACTTGAGTAGACGTATTTGGAAGTGATGTTCGATTTGAAGCATGAAGACTAGTGTTTTGTGCAATATTTAAGGATGCAGAGCTCTTCTTCGGGCGCACTATAGCCGCCAAAAGACTACTACTGTCCCAATTTGCAGGGTCCTCCGAGGGGAAGTATGTAAATGAGGTTGAAGGTTGATAGGAACCATGATTCAGGTTGGGGATGGGAGTCGAGTTCAAATTCCGATTTGGTGTACTTGCAACCTGATGTTGATTTCCAATATTCCCAACAGTTGATGGTGGAGGGGTGGGATAAAGGCTTTGAGCTACTACTTTATTCAAAGTCAGGGTTTCCTCTTTCAACAAGTCTTGATATATCTCAACCAAATCCTCCCAATTCTCAGTTTCCACTTGATTTTGGGGAATTGATCTTTGAGGAACTGGTTTTCCTGGAGTCACTGGAGTCCAAGAACTAGTACCATTCCCATTTCCATTCCCTTGAGGAAATGACTTTGTGGGCATTGCTGAATTCCAAATCTCACCATTCACTACAATGCCATTCTCTTGATGGGTTGTCGTGCATGAATCCCTTTGACCCACGATTCCATTTCCAATCAGAGTCGACCTCACCGGAGTCATCCTCCACGATCCTGATTCCTTACCACAAATGATTCAATCAGCAAACAATTAAAAATAGGAAAGAGAAGAAATGGGAAGTCAATCAAACCAACCAAATCAAAAGCAGCAGAATTGGTAAATCCGAGTAAATTGAGAGGATTTAATTCCAATTATTGTGAAGAAAGGGGCCTTTGATTTGATTAGAGAAATCAGATATAAACCCCACAAAATCCGAATAGAATCTCATGTGAATCACGCCTACTTCTTTGGGGGGGTTTTTGTTGCAAAAACTTGAATTAAAAAAAAATACAATGCAAATTATATCTCAGGTGCATCTCAGCTCACCGAACTCTGGCTCTGTCATCTCTCCCTTGGCCTTGCTGCAATTTGCTAATGTCTTTGGGCTTGTTTGATAAAACTTGTGATTAATTAATAAGCCACCTGCAAAAATGTAAAACAACCGTTTGATATAAAATTACCATTTTTGATTTTGATATATGTTTTGAATGCATGATTTACATTTCAATAAAAAAAATGTTAAATAAAAATGAAAACTGCAGGTTTAATTTGTAATAATTTCTTGATGACAAAGAAAAAACCATACTTGGTTGCATCCATTTCTAATCTTAAGCTCATATATTTGTATGTATAACAGCAAATCAGCCATGCCTACTTCATTCGATAAGGGCATCATCTACAACAATCAAGTGTTATAGACTGCCATAAACATAACAATCTCTTCACTTTTTAAGCATGGAAATGAATTGTATACTTGTTCAACCCATACGAACCACATAATTAATCATATACTCTGTAATGAATCGTGACTGAAAGACTCTATAAACCCAATGCAGATCCTACAATAGTAAACCCCAGGATATATGAAAAAAATTTGTTACTTGTAGATTCCTTTTATCTCGATTCTGTAAGGCGAATTTGATCGAACAGATAGAGTGCACCAAACACATATGAATGCGTGCGCCAAATCAGGAAAAAAATAAAATCATAGCCTCAACTAACCAAAAACAAGAGAGGAATCAAATTTTCCAAAAACCCTAAAAATGAATGAAGGTTTCACCTACCTGATGCAGATCGAGATGAGATGAGCTGAGAAAGGTACTGGTGACGATGGCGTTACCAGTGAGGACGATAGAACAGAGGTAGGAGATCGATAGCAACGAGAAGGATCGAGATCGAGAGAAAGGAGATGAGAAGGAAGAAGAAGAAGAAGCAGCAGGTGGGTCAGAGGATGCGACGATGAAGAGGGTAATCTAGGAACATTTCCATGGCTTAACTCGGTAAGTGGTAGATTGGTGATTAATTCGGTATCAAACGCCACCTTTCTCTTTCTCTTTCTCTCTTTCTTTCTTTTTGTTAAACCAAACAAGAGAGAGAGAAAGAGAGAGATCACAAGATAAACAGTACATACATACATATATGTATATGTATATATATAATATAATATATATATATAATATTTCATATATAGAAATAAAATAATGAAATTTAACTTTTACTTATTTATTTATTAATTTTATATACATATAAATGTAACACACTTGTGTGGGCAAGTCTTGGTTTTCATGCTAGGGCACAACCTCCATGGTCAAATATTTTTCAAACCTCAACCCCTCGTTAGTTAACTCCCATGTATTTATTTTAATTTCCTCACGAAATTACCCTTTTACCCTTTACCATATTTACCTTTCATTTACTTCAAGTGTCAAAAGTTTACCCCTCTACCCTTCACCATCTTTACCATTTTTGTCCAATTAGATTTTAAAAACGTTACATTATTATTTTTAATTAAACAAAATATTTATAATCTTTTTATTTTATTTTAATACTCTCATAGTTATACAAAATATAATATAATTCTACTTTTGTTTTTTAAATTAAATTATTCAACACAAATCATTGGTCTTGGTTTAGATGCTAATGTTTTTGCTATTTAGAATGTTTTTTCAACTCCTCTTGTTTTAAATTGAGTTTAATTAATTAAATAAAATTATGTATTTTTTTTACGATCATGAAAAATAAACGAATTTGATGTGAAAGTATGACTACTCCTTTGAATCGATACGGTAAAATTGGTGAAAGTAAATAGAAGTTGTTGTAGTTTCCGTTTTGACACAATAGATTATTGTGGACTGAAACTGTAGACTGAAAACTGCAGATGACAGACATAAAGTTAATGAAATTTGCATAATGCGGCATAGAACACGTGGGTATCTAGAATCTTTTTTATAATGTAGAATTGACATGTAAACATAACGGTAAATTACAATATACGTGGTGTTGTATCAATATTTGGGAATCTTTTTCTTTTATCTCAAACTTAATTAGCATAAAAACCCTTATAATACGGCTTACATAATACTGCATTAGTATATTTAAATCTTTTTATGTCAAACTAATTGACATATACACATAACCGTGAAATATGGCAGACATGTTTTCTCTTGGTGTTAGACATGTAAATCTTTTGTATCTCAAACCAGTTTGGCATATACACAAAACCTATAATTACAATACACATGGAAGTATATTTGTATCTGCAGATCATTTATCTCAAAACTAGTTGGTATATGCTAAAAATTGAGCTTCTAAAGTCATAAAGAGACAAGCTATAATTAGGCTTTAGGATATTAATAGCATTTTTCATCATGTTTCTATCAGACATCATTTCTCTTCAATACTTCTAAATGTCAAAATTGGCCAATCTTTGCACTTTTAACTATTTCTCTTCTGGAATCGATCTTTTAAAGATCTGTCTTTTACTTCATATACAGGAAATTTCACACAAATCTAACATATACAGATAAAAACTTCAAGTCTTTGTGCTAAAATATATTCAGAAGTGTGGATTAGGAGATATAAATAATATGTTTTCGAAGTTTTTAAGATTTGGTAAAATTATACAAAAATCCCTCCCTCCCCTCGCCCCCCACACACATATGTGTGTGTGTGTGTATATATGTGCGGAACTAAAAGGACAAGTACATTATAGCAAAATCGTATTATAAAACAATAGTATTAGACCAAACAAAAATTATATATGTTAAATAGATGTTATTTTATGAATAATTTTGTATTTGAATGAGCGTTTTAAATTTGAGAATGAAATAAACATATACTGTTGATCATTTTATTGATATCTATTAACAACAATATGTGAAGACAAAATCATAATGACAAGTAAACGATGATTGATTTTACCATCTATACACTTTGGATAAAATGAATCGACATTCAAGTGCCATACAAATAAATTTACTTTTTTACCCTTGATGCTTACAACTAAATACCATGAAAGAAAAGACGGTAAGCTTAAAATAAAATGTGTATGAAACAAATTTATATGTTGACTTCTATTTTTGATACAAGACAAAGTGGGGGATTTTGGGGGGGGGGGGGGAATAGGTGTTGCAGAAAGGGTAGTCTGGTCATTTAGTTCATGGGTTTGGCACAATGAAAATACACATGTACACATAGTGTGTGTAGGCAGCTCTCATGTGTTATAACGTTAGATGTCTACTTTGTATTTGTTTTTGTAGTTATAACTAACGTATAAGAAGTCAAAGCAAAAATTTCAGTTAGGGCCCTTAATTATAAACCAAAATACAAATAAACCCCTATATTAAGTCACTTTTCACCAACAACCCTTTACCTATGTTCGTCTAAAAAAATTGTTTCGATATTTTCTAAAATTAAGTACTGATCAATAACGAAATTAGGTTTTTCATCCACAAGAATATTTCAACACGTACTAAACGTTGTCCATTGAAATACATGTACAAGGCAGACACTTATAATAATTCCGAAAAATAAATGGCAAATGATGTCATAGTGAAACTTTCATCCAAATAAGGGGTCTTTTTTGTAGATTAGAAAATAAGCAAGGGGGTATAAAAGAAAAATAGTACCGAATATGAGAGAGAAATGGGGGAAGGGTAGAATGGTAATTGGAAGGGTCTTTGCCCCAGAATAGGGTTCTCCAATTTCTTTAGAGATTCCGTCTCGGGACGGACGGCGGAAAAAAAGAGAGGGTGGGGTTGGGTTTAGACGGGATTGGCATATTTATTTATTATTTATTTATTTATTTAATTATTTGTTTATGAAAAATGTGAAATTTTATGCATAGGAGTGCACATTTCAAACTCACTTTTTAATTATTTCTTTTTTATTACTTTTTTGTTACTTTTTTGGTAAAAAGATTCACATTAATTTTATATATAT